GCCAGCGATGACGTCCATGAACCAATCTGCCGGGTTTTCGTGCCGTGGCATGTGGAAGCCCAGGTTCCTAAAGTAGGGCAGCACACCCTGGCTAGGGCCCTGGTACACCGTGCGGCCGCCAAGCCCCAGCAAAAGCACCTCGGAGAATGGTCCGCAACAGCTTGAATGTGTGGCAGGCAATGCTGCACAGGTCCCTCCCACGCCCAAGTAAATCGGCTTCATCTTTCAACCGTGTCAACCACCGTTCTTGGCCAGGCAGACCCCCCCAAATCTCGCAGTACCAGCCAAGACCAAAAAGAAAAAAAAAACGAATCCCTCCCCGCACCTCATCGAAGAGGGTGAAGAGGGAGTACCGGGGCTGGTGCACCACCATGACCACCGTCATGCCGATGGCCGTCAGCTGCTTCAAGGACCGGATGATGTCCAGCGCCGTGGTGGCGTCCAGGCCCGAGGTGGGCTCGTCCAGCATGAGGATGGTGGGCCGCGACGCCAGCTCCAAACCTCCGACGGGCGGCACAGCGCCCGCCCGGCCGGAGCTTTGAAGCGGACCGGGAAGACCAGAACGAAGCAGAAAACGACTGACAAATGTTGTCCCTGGGTTTGGTGGTTGGAATCACTTGAGGGTACCACCCCCATATTAATGATTTTGTTCAGAAACTGGGGCTTGTAAGGCTGGAAAGCTGTCATAAACACCCTGGATAAAAAGCCTCCACAGCTTGTGGCAAGTAAAACCGCAGGTCTGGCAAACATGAGAGGCCAAAAAGACGCACTTTCGCTCAGGGACTGTCATAAACTGGGAGTCACCACTACCCAGATCCAGATTGTGGTGCCGTACATCTGCAAGAGTGCCAAAACTGCAAGGGACTTTGCCAAACACAAATGGCTAGGAGAAAGCTGGAGGTAAGCACGCCAAGAGGCCGATATTGACACGCTTGCGCTGTCCGCCGCTGATTCCGCGCCGCTCCACATTCCCAACCAAGCTGTGTTGGACATCAAGCAAGTGCATGACATTCAGCACGTCCTCCACAATCAGCTCAATCGCCTGTGGCGATGCATCCTCAGAGTTGCGCAGGCGGGCGGAGTAGTACAGCTGCTCACCTAAGCAGCTCAAAAAATATCTGGCAGACTCGACTCAATTTGTTGCTCAGTTCAAAGAACTTGCCAAAATCCTTTGAGCTGAAAAATAGATGCCTGCAAAGACCTGATTGGCACACTGGGTGTCAGCATTTGACATTCGTTTTTGGATCAGCTGCTGTTTTGTGTTGCTATTGGAGTCTTGCATGTGCCCCAACATAAACGCAGGTCACGAACTGTCAAGTGCTCGTGGACGATGTCGTCCTGTGGCACGAATCCTCGCAGCTGCTTGATCTCTGCAATGCTGCTCTTCTGGCCGTTGATGAGCACCTCCCCAGTTACGGTCCTGCAATATAACTTCACGTTGTTGTTCTATCTTTGCCCTTCGGCATATTTGTACGGCCCAAGTTTACCCAATATGCTCCCACTTTGTTTGTGCCATTCCCAGTGTTCTGCTCCAACCACTCCCTGCGTGGATACAACACAAAGCAACTCCACACTCCCTGCCTTTGCACTCACTAGTGATAGACTCAGTAATTCTAATTCTGCTTGCACCTTCAATTCCCGTCATTGCTAGGAAGTCTCAGGGAGGGCTCGAGAGCGGTAGCAAAGAAAAAGATCGCCAAAGACGGTCCCGTAGTAGGCCCTGCCGCATATGGCATTCATGAAGGTGGTCTTCCCAGCACCAGAGGGCCCCATAACCGCTGCCATGGTCTTCGGGATAAACTCCCCGGTGACGCCCTCCAAAATGCATTTGCCCTTCCTGAGCTTGTGGGCGGGAGACGAGCGAAGACTCCAAACAAATGAGGGGACTCCCCAAAATGGAGGTTCAGTTTTCCTTTAAAAGAGAAACACAAAGAAAATAGTGATCCACAAAATAAGACACCCCCAAACACACCAACTTTGAGGCGAGAGGGGGCCTGGGCGAAAACTAGGCTCCGTGGTTTTTTCCAACTCAACGCCGAAGCAACATCGATGTTGTCCCGTGGCGTGTGTCAGTGCGTGGGCGCATGTCCCTGGAACTGCACATGTCTCTTTGGAACAACACATTCGGCAAAAAACCGCTCTGCCGAGCCGTGACTAAACCGATGCTGCGCCCGTCCGGAACAGCGCGTTTAGCAGAATTTTGGCAAGCCATAAAAACGTGGAAACTGCACATGTGGCAGAAGATCGCTCTGGCAAGTCGTGGGTAACAAATACCAAGGGCGCCGAACGCGACTGAAAAAGGGGCCGCAGAAACGTCAACATGTTCTTTGTGCCTGTCTGGACGTGCAAATAGGGCAGCCAACTGCTCCGCCAAGTCGTGAATAAGACCGACACTAGTCGCAAAAACGTACACGTTCCCATCATGCGTTCCTAGAACTTCAACGGTGTGCCCTCATTGGTGTCCAAGAGCGTCCCGGACTAGACCAACATGAGCACATCTAGCCGCAAATGAACAGCACCGAACCCTTTGGGAACCTGCTTTTCACACAGAGCCGACAGACGTGCACAGCAGTGCTGCGCACTCCAAGAACTCCACAGATCGAAAGACACTCTTCCAAAAGGCAGACTGAGCGCGACCGCGGCAGGCAGTCCAGGGAGGAGTCGAGCCCCCCCGACCCCCCCCCTCGCTGTGACACATCAATTCTTAGTGCCAGCACCCCCCTGCTAAAGCCAGGGCAACTCCAGCTAGCTGATGCTAGCTATTGGCCAAAGGATGCTCAAAGAACGTGCATGTCACGAAATAAACCCGGCTTCCGAGCTGGCACACACACACTTCAACTCCCAAGGGAGGGTGCTAATCCTTCGAGTACAACTGATGAGTCTCGAGTACAACTGATGAGTCTCGAGTACAACTGATAAGTCTCGAGTACGATGAGTTTCGGCTCGTGCACTCGGCTTCCCTCTAGTGACGAAAACGTTACCCGAAAGAACAAGAAGCACAAACAGCGCCGAACCAAGGGGGCCAAAAAGACATTCAGAGATCACTTGCAGGTACGCATTGAGGCGTCCCTCAACGCTTCCGGCCAAACTTCCATAGCTTCGTTGGCGTGGCTAGGAAGATGGCTGCCACGCCCCCTGCGACAAACATGATCTCGTCGAGAAAGGTGGTGTCAGGGTAAATCTGACACTCCGCACACACACGCCCCTCAAAGAGGGGAGAACCACTTTTTCGGGGGGGGGGGGGGAACACGCGCCCCAAAACCGGGCGAAGACCCCAACAGAAAACAAACAGAGCAGGAAAACAAAGGAAACAGAAAGGCTCCACGTTGGGTCACCGCGGGCAAAACCCAACCAAGAAACACGAAAAACAGGGGAACCCGAGTTTAGGGCCACCGCCGAGGGCAAAGAACCCCAAACAGCCTAGAAACCCTCCTAAACCTGGTAGAAGAAGAGCACCGCGAAGTTGAAGAACGACACCACGAACACGCCATCCCTAAACGGGCGAAGAGGAACAACAGGAAGTAGTTGGAAAAGAGGGAGGAGAAAAGAGGGAAAGAAAGAAAGAAAGAGAGAGCGCGAGAAAGAGAGAACAAGAAGAGAAAAAAAGGGGGGCCCGATGCGTATTTAGGGCGCCGCAGCCCGCCCGGGGGAAGGAGAAAGGAAAAAAAGGGAAAGAGAAGAAGAAGGAGAGAAAGGAAGGCAAAGGGAACGAGATGCGTATTTAGGGCGCCGCAGCCCGCGGGGAGAGGAGAAAGGAGAAAAAGAAGCAGAAGACAAGGAGACAAAAGGAGAAAAGAAGGAAGAAGGAAGAAGGAAGAGGAAGAAAGAAAGAAGGATGAGACTTAGCTATGATCTGACGGCTGTCTTCCCTTTAGTGAAACTTCGTTCCTGCTTAAATCGTGAAATTCCGCTGAGCTGTGATAAGAACGTTGAGGTCAAATTTTCCGGCGAACCGGCCCGGGGTCACACGATGGGTACACCCGAGGTTCCCCCAAGCTGGGGTAGCCACACTTCAACTCCCAAGGGAGGGTGCTAATCCTTCGAGTACAACTGATGAGTCTCGAGTACAACTGATGAGTCTCGAGTACAACTGATAAGTCTCGAGTACGATGAGTTTCGGCTCGTGCACTCGGCTTCCCTCTAGTGACGAAAACGTTACCCGAAAGAACAAGAAGCACAAACAGCGCCGCAACCAAGGGGGCCAAAAAGACATTCAGAGATCACTTGCAGGTACGCATTGGGGCGTCCCTCAACGCTTCCGGCCAAACTTCCATAGCTTCGTTGGCGTGGCTAGGAAGATGGCTGCCACGCCCCCTGCGACAAACATGATCTCGTCGAGAAAGGTGGTGTCAGGGTAAATCTGACACTCCGCACACACACACACACCCTCACACCGCCTATTTTCAAGCAACATACCTGAAAGTTCGACTCACAATGACAGAGGCTTTCAAATAATGCCCGGCTGTTGACACATGTGCTTTTCTCCAGCTGCCGGTCCCCATCTTCAAGCGCATGGCTCACCTTGCAACAAAGATTGCCCTTTGGGGGAGAGGCGTGGAAAAAACCGGAAAACAGGACGCCTCTATATTTCTGCAAGCCTCGACTTGAGCTTCACGCCCACGTTCTCAAAGCCCACATGGATCGAGGACATCTTGAGGCGCATGCCACGGAAGCGGTAGTCTTGCACCGGCAAATCGGGCATGACGCTGCGCATGAGGTCCACAGAGCAGCGCTCGCACTCGGCCATGATCCCCGAGCGCGTAGCTTGCTGAGGCCGCTTCACGCGGTTCACCAGCGCCACCACCAGCAGAGTCACATATGAGACCAGCACAATGCCCAGCAAGGAGACCTCCCACACATGTGAATGATCCATGGCCAGGCTATCCTAAAAAGCCTGGGATCCTAAAAGCTGCCGTCGCTTGCGTCACCTCTCGCTTGAAAATCAGGCCGCTGAGTGACTGGCACGCAAACCGAATGGACAAAAGCGCTTTATCAACTTTCTAGCGGCAAGTTCTACAGTCCTACGTTGTCACCACCCGCTCGAAAATTCGCCGACGGAATGTGGCTTTAGGGTACCAAATGTTGATCAGGGATTGACTATCTGTAGCAGGTGGTAGAGATCAAACCATTTAAGGCTTGCTGTACAGCCAACTTTGAGCTGAGCCAACCGTTCATGCTGAGTCAGCATCGTGCATCTACGTGAAACCGGTTTCGTAGCCATCACGGCTGCTGAGCAGCATGGAGGACGTGGCATGCATTTCCTCCTCTTTGAGGTGCTGTGCAGACATCGACAGACAGGACATTGCTTGTCTTATTCTCATGCATGAATTCAAGGTCTCAGACCTGCCTGCCACGGTGTGAAAACCGCAGTCCCAAATAGCCAAAGATCAAGGAAAGAGATCCGAAGACACCACAAGAGATGTAGGAGGCGGTCAGGTAATCAAGGCTGCCTCCCCCTACTGACTCCAAGACCCTCTTGTACCCGTCCATCATGGGAATGGCGAAGTAGTTCACCATCTCCTCCCCCCCCATGCTAGCAATGACGGCCAGGTAATTCTCCCCAGCCGCCCACGTGAAGGGCGACAAAAAGGCCAGGGCCGAGGTGAAGCCACGGGCATCTGCGACCACCTCATGTGATCTATTTTCGCTCAGCGGCTGAGAAAAAACATGTGGGGGGTTGATCCATATTGCCCAACCCCAATTTTGGACCATGGGCAACTTTTCCCATGTGGGGAAGGTCGTCTTTTTTGGCGGTTTCCCTGATGGTCACCCCACGTAAAGGATCTTTTGATCAACCCCCATGTGCTCCTTTTGTCTTAGATCCCCTGCTAAAAGTGACTCACTTTTAGCGGGTGACATGGACACCCAACCACTAAACCAACCAAAGATCTAAAAAGCTAAGGAACCGGACGGCTGGAGCCACCAAGTGTCGCGGCTACCCATATTGGGGTGGCTTGCAAACCCTTGTATTGAAACCTAATCCCGGAGAAGCTGTGATTTGATGATCTCCGGCAATCACACTCCTGAATCTCCTGGACGGTCTCTTGAGTCCAGTGGTTGCACAGCGGTCGACGGCTTTTGGAAGACGTTTGCCCAATTGAAAGTGCGAAAGTAATTGTTGACAGCCGTCAACCGGCTAATTAGACATGCCCTTTCGGATTCCCTCCCCCCCCCTCCCCACCTCCCCTCCCCCCCGGCGGCACCCCACGGATGACGCCAGGTTACGGACCGAATTCCCCCCCGCCTGGGGCTCGCTGACCGCCCCGCCGGCGATGAGGATCACCACGGAGGTGGCCAGGGTGGAGCTCTGCTTCGGCACTAGCGTGGACATCAGCACCCCGATGCCCGCGGCGCTCACCGCCGTCATGCGGAAGGCGATGAGCCAAAGCCAAAATGGGCACGGGGCGGAGGACGTGAGCGCCCAGGCAGCGGTGAACGCGTAGGTCCACAAAAGGACGTCGAAGGCGTACACCGTCACCCTGGCAAGAAAGAATGCGGTGACGCCAATGCCACTGGCACTCTCCCGCCAAAAGACTGGCCGATCAGAGCCAAAAATTGCGAGCACCGCGACGCCGGTGAGCTCTCCGATGGCAACGTGGGAGATGTTGATCTTGATGGGGCACAAGACGCTGTCGGGCGACAGCTTGTCCCTGGCCTGCTGCCCAAACACGCAAGCGCTGAACATGATGAGGGCGGTGCTGAATACCTTGTGCCGCCAATGCCGTGCCCACCGGATGCTGTTTTGATGCACCAAAACCGGATACTGGAAGAAGAACCTGCCACGCCGCCCAGAGGACTTGCCTCAGAAGGCAGATTCATGAGGGACCAAAGTCCACATTTTGTGGATTTCTTTTTCGGGAGGGCTCCAGAAAAAGGCAGGCCTCACCATGAGTTCCGTTGCCTAAAAACGCCGAGCTGCCATCCGGGACCTCACTCACCTCTGACGCCTCCGAATAGCCCATGTCCAAATTGGAGTCAAAGACATCGCTCAAGGCGTCCTGCGAGAAGGAGCCCATCAAGCAAAAGAGGAAGGATGAGAGCCTCTGCTTGGTGACGACACCTTAGCTGCGAGGAGCAAACTTTCTTCCGCGGGATTGAACAAACAAACAAACAAAAAGACAGACAGACAGACAGACAGACAGACAGACAGACAGACAGACAGACAGACAGACAGACAGACAGACAGACAGACAGACAGACAGACAGACAGACAGACAGACAGACAGACAGACAGACAGACAGACAGACAGACAGACAGACAACACCAACAAACCAACAAACCAACAAACCAACAAACCAACAAACCAACAAACAAACAAACAAACAAACAAACAAACAAACAAACAAACAGCGAACGTGAAAACAAACGAACAAACAAACCAAAGAAACAAACCAACCAACCAACCAACCAACCAACCAACCAACCAACCAACCAACCAACCAACCAACCAACCAACCAACCAACCAACCAACCAACCAACCAGCCAACCACCAACCGAACAACCAACCAACCAACCAACCAACCAACCAACCAACCAACCAACCAACCAACCAACCAACCAACCAACCAACCAACCAACCAACCAACCAACCAACCAAAACATTTCACAGACAACCAAAACATACAACAAACAACCAAAACATACAACAAACAAACAAAACATACAACAAGCAACCAAAACATACAACAAACAAGCCAGCCAACCCAGAAAGCAAGAGACGAAGAAACAAAGCTATGAAGCAAAGAGGTAAAGAAACACAAGCACAAGCACAAGCACAAACAAACAAGCAAGCAAGCAAGCAAACAAACAAACAAACAAAGAAACAAAGCTATGTAGCAAAGACATAGAGAAACACAAACAAACAAGCCGCCGACAAACGAACCAACCATCCAACCAAAAAGAACAACTTTCCGGACGTCGAAGCCTAAAGCTGAAAACAAGAAATCCGAAGGGTTGCACCGCCCCTAAGAAAACGTTGCGGGGTTCACTGGGTTGGCCGAAAGGCTTGTGGTCCCATCTTTCCATGGTTTCTGAAAGGTGCTGCAACCTGGATTTTGCAACCATCCATCCACAGTATCTCAGGGTCCCATGTCCCTTTCTGAAAACCTGCCAAAAGTGAAAAATTCCATTCGCTTCCACCGGACACCCCGGGCCAAACCTCGCAACCCGTGGGTTGAACCCGCCGCCGTCTTCTCTTCGACTCGCTCTTCGAGTGGCCTTCCTGGAAGCCGATCCGCTCCATGAGCTGCTCCGCCGCCGCGTCGCAGGGCTTCTCGATGCCCAGGTCCGACAGGAACTCCAGGAATTGCCTCGCCGCACCGGGGAGAAAAAAAAACTGCGAGTGGCCTGGGCGCCGAAAATGAATTTTAGGAGTTGGTTGACGTTGGAATGGGAGCAACAATTTGAATCTTAGCAGTTAAGTGGGGATTTCCCACTAAACCACAAGAAGCAAAAATGTGAAATGTTTCCCAACAACAACCATGTTAGGAGTTGGTTCCCTATGGTTGGTGGCTTTCGCTTTAGCTTTCGCTTGTAAAGCCGGAATGAAGATGCGGCACTCCAAAATCTCCCTAAGTTTGGATATGCGAAACATTGCATGCAAGCCATCTCTCAAAATGAGAGTCCCCGTCCATGAGCGTGTGGGCATGCAGTGGCGCAAAGCATGTCACCTGCCTTCGCAATCTGCAAACGGAACCAAAACGAATCCCACGAGATACATGTCCACGCAACAAAACTACAACTGCAAATGCTTGGTTGCTGTTGACCCGCCTGCAAAAAGTTTGACTTTTTGGCGGTTTAGTGGAAACCCCCTTGAGTTCCCAAAAAGTTAACGTCTAAAAGATCCAACCCGATAGCAGTCAAGAATGTAGGCATCCGCAACTTGTGTGCGTTTGCTTCAATCCTGCCCTCTTCCACGTCGACCCCGGACCCCCCAGCCATCTTTGCAACTGGGTGCTTCTTGGTGAGCTGGTCTGCTCCACCCAGGCCAGCCGCTGTGAGCTTCTCCTCCAAGCATTTTGCGAAGGTGAACTTGTCTTCACGGGTGCCTGGCGTCCATGAAAAAAACCTTGGTTGCTGTTTCTTTTTTGTGTGGCACGAACGGGTGGCAGAATCCATAGTTTGCTTCAGGGAGACATTCGAAGGGAACACGTTGGCAGAGTCCAAGGCCAGTCTCACTTTTTGGGGGTGATGAAAAGTGGACGCAGGCAAAGGGCACTGGAACTGTAGATGTGTCTGGGAAACAGGCACAGGTTGCCCTGGGCTTGAGCAAAGCCACACGCAGAACAAATGCTGTGAGCATGCGGGCTCCCCTGCAAACCTGCATCATGCTGGGAACTATGGGCAAAGCCGCATAGCAACAAAGTCAAATAGAAAAGAGCCTTAGTCTAAATAACTTGAGAAGGGGAGACACGAAAGGTAGGTACATAGGATACAGGATACGGTAAAGTGGTCCCCCTAATGTGTCGCAAAGTGGCTTCCCCGAATGTGTCCTCTAGAAAGAAAGGAGGCTTGCATCGAATACAATTCAGGTGCGCATGGAGCTCAACAGCTTGACCGTGTTAAGAGGCAATGTCCGTTCCGCGAAAAATGGAAGTACGTGTTGGCCATGTGAAGTGGGGCACTGACAAAGCAAGAAGTGTGAAGCGAAGTGAAAGCGAAAAGAGTGGAAAAAGGAGCGAATCTGCCAATCAAATCAGGAGGAGGATGGGGGGCAGTGAATACTTTATTGGTTTTCCCAGACCCCTCAGTCTAGTCTTGCAAACGCAAGGACAAACTCAAGCTAGCCTCCTTGAGGCTACCTTTTGTGACTAGCACACCTTGCAGCAAAACCGGGAGTAGAAAGGACAAACAAAAAACATTGAATTGTTCAATGTGGGCGGGGAACCCAAAAAAAAAGTTTCCGCGCATCGCATTTTTTGAAGGGCGCTTGCCGGTTTGCTGAACAATTCCGCGGCGCCTCGCTGCTGCATGACCACATCCTGTTCCTGTACACCGTCCATCTTCTCGTTCCACACTTCAGCAAGGCCACTGGACTTCAAGCCGGGGTTGGCCTCGTTCTTCACCTCACTTCTGACGGGGTTGGCCTCGTTATTCCGTTGAGGGCCCCAGTTTTGGGTAACTTTTCCCATGTGGCGAATATCATATTTATTGATTTTGTTTCTTTTAATGGTCATTCCACGTAGAGGACCCTTTGATTAACCCCCATGTGCAGAAAGCTAGCTATTGAGCATCCTAGGACAGTAGGTGAGGGTAATGTTGAAGCAAAAGCTTTTCAAACGTTCTGGTTACAGAGTCTGGTTGAATCTCTCCTGCTCCTGTTTGTCATTTGGCTCACCCCTTGCCTTGCCAGAAATGACATCCATGAACCAATCTGCCGGATTCTCGTGCTCCGGCATCTTGAATCCCAGGCCGGTGAAATAAGGGAGCACTCCCTCACTGGAGTCCAGGTAAACCGTCCGCCCTCCGAGTCCCAGCAACAGTACCTCACGGCCGGCTTTTGAGCATACGCGCCTACCAGCTCTTACAACTTACAACTAATTCACCGCTTCAAGGGTTCCAAGGGGGAGGCGGTAGCCAGGCAGTCAACACGTCGCAGTCCTGCCCCCTCTTGCTGGTGGCACGACGCAAGTGGGCTGGCAGACCGCTTCCGAAGCCAACTTATGCCAATGAGGCCACCCCCTCCGCAATGGAAACGAGAAAAAACGACCTTGAACCCCAAAAAAAAAGGCCGCCTCATCAAAGAGCGTGAAGAGGGAGTACCTGGGCTGGTGCACCACCATGACCACCGTCATGCCGATGGCCGTCAACCGCTTCAAGGACCGGATGATGTCCAGCGCCGTGGTGGAGTCCAGGCCCGAGGTGGGCTCGTCCAGCATGAGGATGGTGGGCCGCGACGCCAGCTCCAGGCCTGGTGCGGACATGCGGCTTGGAGGTGTTTTTTTTGTGGATCCAGCCCTGTAGGATGTTAAAAGAGTACTAAGAGAGTACCAAAACAGGGGGAAGGACGGGTGAAATCCACAAAAAGCGCATCCAAACCGTTTTCTAGAGGCATTGCCTGAGGGAATGAGTGAGGCCAAACTAAAGGCTCCGACCTTTCCCCTTCAAATTGCATGCTGGATTGGCGATGTATGGGATAATTTCGCAGAGATCACCTGTCTGGATCTTGCATTCCAGTTCAGCCAAGACTCCAATGTTCACCCGCTTTCGTTGCCCCCCACTGATGCCGCGCTTCTCCACGTCGCCGACGATGCTGTGCTGCACGTCTAGCAGCTGCATAACATTCAACACATCCTCGACAATGTGCTCGATGGCCGCCTTCGGTGTGCCCTCCGCGTTGCGCAAGCGCGCCGAGTAGTAGATCTGCTCACCTGGCACGGATGCCGTAGTTCTACAGCCAACAGGCCTCTGGATCAACACTACGTTTCGTCTCCCTCCCTCCCTCTCTGCCACATGGCATTGCTTTCAGCTCCCACGTGGGACTTGCGGCAGTCCACTCAACTTCAGTCAAGCCACGCACAGTCAACTGCTCGTGCACGATGTCATCCTGTGGCACGAATCCTCGTAGTTGCTTGATCTCGGCTATGCTGCTGACCTTGCCGTTCACGCGGATCTGTCCTGTCACCGTCCTGCGCAGAGCTGGCCATCAATCTGCTGTCCCTGCTGCCTCCCAGCTTGAAACCCAAAAGATGCGTTCCACCTGCCCAACAGCACATTTCCAACAACTCAGGAAAACACACCTAACCAAGTTCAAACAGAAAGAAAAAGCCAGAATGATTGACAATCGCAAAGACTGTCCCGTAGTACGCTCGGCCACAAATGGCGTTCATGAACGTCGTCTTACCTGCGCCGGACGGCCCCATGATCGCCGCCATCTTCTTGGGCCGGAACTCGCCGGTGACTCCCTCTAAGATGCAGCGCCCGTCCGAGTTCAGCTTCACACCCACCTTCTCGAAGCCAATGTGGATGGCCGACATCTTGAGGCGCATGCCGCGGAAGCGGTATTCCGGCACCGCGGCGTCCGGAACGATGTTCCGCACCATCTCCACGGAGCAGCGCTCGCAGTCGTTCCTGGGCTGCCCGTTTTCAGATCCCCCGCTGAAAGTCACTCACTTTTAGCGGGTCAAATGGAGACTACCACTAAACACTAAAAGGATCTAAAAAGCTAAGGGGATGGCTGGGAGCCACCAAGATTCATGATCTTGGACTTGCTGGTCTGCGCAAGTCGGCTGCGGCGGTTGATGAGCGCGTTCACTACCAGGACGACGTAGCCGGCCACAAAAAGACCCAACATGCATTGCTCCCACCAATAAGTGCCAGCCATTGCGCAATGGGTTCAGCTAATGATGCAGTTTCACGGCATCTTGATCCAACGTGGCTATCTGACAAAAAGCGCAGCCTGGCAAAGGTACAAAAAATTATTGTCATGACCAGAGCCCTTGCAAACCTGATCCAACTGCAGCCCTCGGACCCTTGGATGTGTGTGTGTGTGTATTCGAACAGCGCCCCTTTCAACATGCGGCAAGTCTGCCAAGGCACGTTTTCCCGCAAGTCTGCAAAGGCAAGCTCTCTCACCGCAGTTTGCTTTGACTGCCGTTCCAACAAATGGTAAATCACAAGCCATCGCTGCTGCCGCCCAATGCCACCAGGGCTTGCTTTGCAGACCTGCATCGCTCTCGGTGCGGATTAGAAAGATGATGCCCTTTGACAGGCCACATGTTCACCTGCCCCAAGGGGCAAAAGCTAGAGTCTGGAGGCCCTCAACTGCTCACTATACATCCTAAGCATCAAGCACGTGGTCTTTGATGGGAAGACTGCCCCGTGCTGTGGTCAACTGTTTTAGGCCTGCAGGACTTCTCATCACTCGTTCTGTAAGGCACGGTTTCCCGACGCATTCCTTTTCGCGCCTGATTGTCACGGCGGAGAAGCCAGCAGCCACAGCCCTTTCCAGCGCTGCCCTCAACCTCTTCACCTGGACAGTTCGGCGCTTGATGTCATGCAACTACTTGACATCGCTGGCCAGGGGCCGCACGTCTGCACTTTTCTTGGCCTGAAGTTGCAAGGCGCCGAAGCTGACATGTGGGTGCTTGCACCCAGGGATGTGCCGATCACAAGTAGCTCGGAGCTTGCAGAATCACAGTCAGAGTGCATGTCTAAGCCGCAGGCTTGACTCAGCTCTGCCCAAATCTCCTTTCGATTGGCGGCAGACTCTTTGGACGCCACCTAAGCTGCAAGAGGAGCCAAGCAAAGTTGTTGGAGAAACCCTGCACCATCTGCAACACACCAGGTCCTAGTCTTACCAGCGCCTAGGCAGCGTTTGTCCATAGCAGAAATTCGCCCTCTCGTCTAAGACTGGGCTGCACTGGCCTTTGCAGCAGGTTGCTCTTTTGGTGCGGCCACAACTTCTCGCGGCCTCATCCGCCAGCTCTGGACTGAAAGCTCACAACTCCTGTTTTGGGTTTCGCACCCCTTGATAGCCGGAGCTTCCACCGATCCTTGGACGAGGAGCCGCGAAAAATGGCCAGCTGCTTCCTTGAAGGGGGGCTGGGGCCTGGGGGCGGGGGGGGGGAGGGGGAGGAAGCCCAAATAAGCTCTTTCTTCTAAGGCCTTATTGAGGCTTATTTGGGCTCCCTCCCCCCCTCTCTCCCCCCTTCCCAGCCCTGATTCCCGAGAACCGGACTCCAGTGCGCATAAAGCCGCGAGGAATCCTGAGCCCCATTGGCTCGTAGAAGAAGAAAAAGAAGCCATCCAGGGGAGCTACATGGATTTCCCTGGTAGATGATGAAAACACCAGGTAAACCGATCGGAATCGCCATCTATTTGCTACCTCAACAAACCAAAAAGCACACCGAAGCCATCCCGTCCTGCACCGGCTCAGCCTCCGAGCCGCTGTCCTGCGGGTAAGGGTTCTGCCGGGGGTTAGCCAGGCATGGCTAGAAGTTTTTCTGCCGGGGTTGGCTTGCAATCACGTCCTCAAGCCGTGGTTAGGTGAACAGCTGCCCCCTCCCCCGAAAAATCCCTCAACTGCCAAGGGAAATTTCGTTGCTCTACCCTGTCGCCCGTCGCCTCTGATCTCTTGAGGCGGCGCTGAAGCCTCTTCTCCGCCTGCTTCATGCGTTCTTGCTCCTCAGTCACTGCTGGGCGATGGGAATGGATTCACGAAGCTTTGGCTCGAAGTGTCATCCTTCCATGTTCAATCCAAGTGCTCCAAGAAATGCAGCAAATGGAAGTGCAACCAAATATTTACTCAGGACCAATGGCACACAACACAAAAACCAAGCTGGATGTTGATTTTCATCTGCGGAGCAATTCCTTTCCTGTCCGTTGGACCAAATATTCAAACCCCCGCCCCCAATCTCAATGGAAATGTTCCGGGACCAGGGACCAGTGGACCAAATATTTCAAACCCTATCTACTCTCGGCTGCTTTCTGCTCCCCTGCTAAAAGTTTAACTTTTAGTGGCTTAATGGAAAACCCATTAGTTGGCAAAAAGTTCAAGTCCTAACATCCAAGCAAAATGCGACAAAGTACTATCCATCTGCTGCACTGCGGCTTCGCCTACCCACCAGCTGAAAGCTGCCGCTTGCCAAAACGCAGCGCTGAAGCTCTTGCAGCGGCTGGGCGGCAGGCGGGTAACGTCGAAGACACTGACCTTGCGGTGCGTTTTTGGAGCTTCCAAGTGCCGAATGGGTGAGCCAGCCTGTGTACCCCCCCCCTTTTTGTGGTTTCAAGGGGAGAAACCCACCTTTGGTTCTTGCGGCGGGTGGGATCCCCTGCAAACATACCATGTAACCACGACACACCTCGTCGGCCTCTTCTGGGGCTTCGGCGGCTTGCCTTGCTTGCCTCGGGCGCGGAGGTCAAAGATGGGCTGTGCCCGTTCGGAACGGCCCCGTCGGTTAGGGAACCAAAAGGAAACCAATCAGTTTAGGGGTGCGCTTTTGAGAGAAGATCCGAATAAGTTGAAATCGAAACCCGGAGGGCACGGGCTTCAAATCCATCCCATGAACCATCACCCCTCCCTGATGGTATCCATGTCGCGTCTCCAAATGCAACTTCAATCAAAGTTGTGCGGCTCCCTCACTTTTACCGCCGTACATCTGGCTCGGGCTCTTTTGCGCCTCGAACCGCATTGTACATCTCACCATACAGCGCGCGGGTGGTGGCGTCTGACTGCCTTGCAGGCTGGATGCAGTGCCCCAAACATCATCTGCCTGCAATGCACCTCTTGAGCTGGGGGTCAGCTGTGTGGTCCTGCACACAGACATGTTTGTTCGGGGCTGGGCTTTTCACAGGCATGTTGACTGGAAGTCAAACTGGGGCAGCTTCATGCATCAAGCGCCTGCGCCAGAGCATGAAAAAAGGCAGCCAGTCCTGAATAGCACAGCGCATCTCAACGACTCCAAAGGCTGTCGCCTGCGCGAGTCATATAGTCATCGGCTGCAATCTGGGTGTGTCCTTCTTTTGAGGGAACCCTCTTTTGGGTGGTTTTGAAATGAAACCAAGAGGAAAACCGCCTTATTTGTCCGTGTCCTTTCCTTTTTTTTGGGCGGGGAGGGGTTCCCTACAAAAAGACAGGGACGCCAAAAAAACAGAAAGGTTTTTCCGAAGTCCAAAGGAAACCCCCCCCATTCACCACCATCTTGGGGGGTCCAAACCCCTTACCTAGACAGCCCCATTGTTGGCGCCGCGGCCTCGAAGCCCCACCTCTCCAGCACCGGCTTCTGCACGGGAAAGGCCACCTGCCGGGCGGTCCTATCCGCACCGTCCGTGCTCGGATCTGCAAGCGACGAACCCTTTTAGTGGGTGAAATGGAAGACCAACCAAAAGAACCAACTGAAAACCCAAAAGCGCAAGGGCTGGATTGCAAACCACTTAAACCAAACAAAAAAAAACTAAGATGGCTGGGAACCAGCAAGAAAAAACCCTTCCGCCCAACGGGCCTTGTCGAGATAGCGGGTAAATTCCTCCTGGCTGCTGACATCCTCAGCTCGCTCGCAGCTTCTGGAAGGCAACTGACAGGTCGATCTTTTGGCTGGGCGCGCGGCCCGCGCAAGTTTCCGAACCTGCATCGCTCATGGCCAGTCGTCACAACACGGCTGTGGGTCAAAACCCTGCACCCTGGTGAACATCAAAATAGGTGGCAAATGGATGTCCATCCACCCCAAAATGGACCCATGGATGCTCGTCTTTGGGCAACTCCAAGTCCCGGGCTTGCTCTCGAAAGCTTGGCTCCGCGTATGCACGCTCAAGCTCCTGCACGACGAGGCAAGCACACGGACAATGGGCCCGTGCGACGCAGTGATGCCAACTCAACCCCGCCATTCGAGCGCTTTCGGCATGGTTTGCACCTTCAACAGATCCTCTGCTCCATCTCTCGTCAGCCTCAGTGACCGCTCCCGTGCTGTGCCGACCAAAACATGCCGCTGGACCTGCGTGAAGCTTTGCCAGCTGAACGTTCCAAGCTCAGCCCGCTACAGTCGGCCTGCCGTCCCCGCGGAAGCTCAACAGCTCAGGCCCGCGCCGCTTGCGGGTTGCATCCTCCACTCGCGCCGCAGCTTGGCTCTCCGGCGCCGCCTGTGATGTGGACAGGAGCGTGGAAAGGAAAATCGGTGACACGAAACAAGCAATGGAGATTGAGCAGCTCCCTGAAAAATCCGAACCCTAACAGCCGATATGCCGGTTGGAGGCCCGGTGGCCGCTTATGAAGTTCAATCAGGAACCCTCCTGCAGCGCCGGCAACTCCGGAGCCGCTGAAGGCTGGGGCTCCCTCTCCTCGTCAAGCTGCCTACTTCGGCGAATTAGTGTGCACAAAAGGCACCTCATCTAACTTGGTATTCCTTGGCGTTTGGCATCGCTGGCTCAACAATACTGCGCCTCTAGGTGCCAATTATTGTTTGACACGCTCGTCCAGTCAGCACACTGCCAGTTCTTCGGCTTGACTCAGGAAACCTGCTAGCAACTCTCTGAGCCACCTGAGCGATATCAGCACCATGGACAGCAGCTCCATGCACAGCAACATGCGCAGCGACATAAAAACTTCACAAGCAACGCCAGGGTCAGAAAAAAATGAGAGCCAACATCAAAGCTGCGCCAGACATGTGCCGCCGGTCCTCGCTGAAGAGGCACTTCTGCAGGCCCAGCTGCAGCATTCGCTGCTGCGACACCTCGGAACTGATTTCTCATCCAACAGCCCGAGGGTGCTCAAAAAAAAAGAGATGATGAACCAAATAACAGATTGCTGACCTTCCTGTGACACCTTTTGAGACTTCAGCTCTGGAGATCCCCTTTGTGCGCACTGCTCAGCTCATTTTCTCATTTTGGTCTTCAATCGTACTGCAAAGTTGCCCACTGGTGAAATACCATCGCGCCCCGTTTTGGGGCGCGGACGTGTCACAGAAAACTAGTTGGTCGCATTTGTGCACAAGCGGTACAACAGCTTCCTTTGTCAACGTGAGCTTGGGCTGCTCGGGATGCAGCCGTTTAAAACTTGTTGGCAATCCATGTACCTGGCTTCAAAAGTCAGTCCAATCCCATCGCCCGCAGACGGGCCCTCTCCTTTGCTCGCAGCTTGTCGGCGGAGCGATCAATGTCGTGACCCCAAACCTGGCGCAGCAGCCATTGGCAAGTGATCCTTTCGCGCATCCTGGATGGCTAGACAACCGAAAAATGCTGCTAGGGCGCGATCTCGTCAACCTCAGGGCCATGGTGAAAGCTTGCAAGAAAAGACTGCAACTCTCTTCTTTGCAGCGATTATCCAAATCACTAAACCCTATCGTGAATTGGGCTCGAACATTTTCAAGCCCATGTTAGCTTTCTTGGACATATCCCCAGCGCCACGCCCAAGCTTCAGGGCTTGCCCTTGCCTTTTCCGCCTTGGCTACGATTCCCACCAGCACTTCAATTTGCGTGCGTGTGTGTGTCTCCTTTTTTAGCCTTCCCTTTCTTTGCTCGGTTTAAAGAGAAAAATAAGAAAGAATTATTAAAAAAAACCCAAAAAAAAAAAAAAAAAAAAACTTCCGGGGGGTTCCGAATCCCATCTTGAGACCAACACGGCCGACCCCCGCCTGAGACAGGCCGCTGCCCAGCACCGTCTGCCGCCCCTCGATCTTGGCTTCGGCGCCGATGCACTTGCGGCCAGCTGCACCTCGGGCTGAAAAAGGTGGGGTGTGTGTGTGTGTGTGCTTTTTGAGGGGACCCGCCAAAAAAATATGTTGCGCTTTCCTCTTGGTTTCCCCTTCAAGCCACAAGAGGATTACCCTCAAAGCAAGCCAGGCATATATAACTGTTGTATTGCACAAATGGGCGGGCACTTGCAAGCCAAATTGCACCTGCCCGCCCCAACAAAACCGGCCGGCCATGGGCGAGCATGGGCACATACGCTCAACCCAGAGGCATGGTGGGTTGATGATCTGGGGACATCTTTTTTCCTCTGGCAGCTTCTCTGGCGGCCTACGCTTTTTCCAAAAAGTTTCGTTTTCACCATCTTCGAGTTGCTTCCCACTCCCTCCTATCTGCAAGCCTCCGAGTCGCCAGCATCCCCTGTCCCTCCCGCGCCTGCCCAGTTGGGGGACTGCAGGTGCGCGTCCACCGGATTGGAGCCTATGGCGTGGCCAAACGCCACCTGGTCGACGGCGCTGACCTTGGCCGTGGTCATAGGGTCAATGTGAGCATGGGTCTGGGTGTTCCTTTGGAGTTGGTAGCCCGTGTTGGGTGGTTTCACAGGGACACCAACATGAAAAGCCGGACAAAAGAAAAGAAAAGAGGAAAAAACGAAGGAAAGGAAACAACAACCAAAAAAAAGAACGCTTGTGTAAAAGTGTGATGTAAACGTTCTCTTCGGGTCAAAGAAATTGAGCGACTTTTTGACTTATGCCCGGGTCGGGGACAGGGGGTTGGCAAACGAATGCAAACCTCACGTTGCCCTGCATGATAGCATACGATCAAGTATGCAAAGCGTGCAATTCGAAGCCTCTATGTCACACTCTTGTTACGCAGCGGGGAAACATGCAACGAGAGAGAGAGAGAGAGAAAGAGAGAGAACACATGCAACGCCTAAGAGCTTTACAGCCCTCACCCCCACCTTGCCCCTGACGCCGCAGCACACATTCATTTCAAGAGGTTATAGCTTTGTGGCTGAGCGGCCGAAACCTCTCACTTTAGCTCCAAAAAAAAGTTGGTCGCGTTCCAGCTTGCCTCCCCATCAGCCCTTCGGGCGCAATTCGGTGCAAGTTTCTCTCCATGCAAAGCTCTCACAAGAGCAAACACCACACTTGCTCCGAGTATGAAATCTCAAGTAGAAGAGCGCCCATGTGAAAGTTGGGCACCGCAGCATGCTTAGAACCTCAAACAAACCACAAAAGCGGATACGCGAAATGGAATCTGACTGCTCAGCATCTTCCCACCCGAGATTTGAATGAAAGCCTAAACTTATTGTCTCAGTTCAGCAGTTTAGGCTCAGTTCACTTTCCAAAATGAAAAAAGCGGCCGTGAAAGCCTGTCACTTCTGGACTGTGAACCCAGGTTTGCGGCAAGCAGCGTGGGCCATGTGGCTTGGACGGAGGCCGCCGTGCTTCTCTCGGTGTCCCACATACCTCCGCCCAGCAGCACCTCAAGGCGAGGCTCCCGACGTGCGAGGCCCACGAGGCCACGCGGACCTGCGTGTGGGGACTTTGGGGGGGCCCCAATTGCCTTCAACACAAGCTCTGAAGATAGCACGTAAAAGAAGATTTGGGTATGGGTCAAAATCGAGCCACCGAGGGACCGCAGATTTTAGTCCACGTTGCCATTTACCGGGGCAACCCATTTTGGGCACCTACGTTTGACCTACAGCCATTTGGGTGAGGCGCGATGCCTCACGGAATCCATCCTACGACAAAAACCGGCCTTTGCGGGTAAAGGAGGCACGCAACGAACAACGCAAACTGTCTGGCCTTGAAATTGCGACGCCTGCATGTGGCCCTGAAGCCGTTCATCCAAGCCCGCGTCGCAGCCGGAGATGATCTGCGCAAACACATCTTTGCTTCCCCCGCCCCAAACTATGCCGGCAATCCCTCACCAACGCGCCTACCATGCAAACAGGGAGGCCATGTCAGGGAGTGCTGCTGGATATGCGGGCTCAATCGGCGCGGGCCTTGTCGACTTCGGACACGCCAGCAGTCAAGTCTGGCTTCAGTCCTCCCTGTCGCGGGCGCTGGCCGATACTCTGCGATCCAGCTGCATCCTGCCGGGCGGTGCCCGTGCCCGGGCAGTGCCATGCCCGAAATTGCAAGAGACCCGCGGACATGTGCACATGCAGCTTGCGGACATCCGGTGGGCAGGGTTCGCCCTCCATCCCTGAGGAGGTTCCCCTCGTTTGCCTTTGATCGGCAGAAATGCTTCCATTTGCTCAAGCCCTGGAAAAAAATATCCAGTAGTCATAGGTCCCCTTTAAAACCAACAGAGAAAAACACAAACGGTTCTTAAGCAAATGGAAGAATGGGCTTTGCCTCATGGCCTCCACATTCTCGGCCCGCGCAGGCCAGCTGGTCACAGCCAGCTGGAAGCCCAGCAAATGGGTGGTGTGTGACGCATTTGTTCAGGGGACCTCCTCCAAAATGGTGGCTTTCCTTTTGGTTCCCCTTTTCATCAACAAGGGACGGGCGCACCCTCAAAAACAGACAGACCCTTCACCAAAAACCAAAAAAACAACTTTAGTACAAAAAAAAAAAAACTCGAGCAGCAAGTGCCCCAGTGCGTCCTTGAACGCCTCCAGTTGCAAATGCTCGCTGAGCTTCTCCTCAGCTGAGAAGCTGGAGTTCAAATTGTGGAGCCTTGGGAGCCTGTTGCAAGTGTACATCAGCCATCTAGAAAACGGTTTGGAACCCACAAGGGAAGAACACGTGAGCTTTTCACAAATAGGGCACAAGGACCGTTTCTCTAGACATAATGGCTGAGTATGCCCAAGTATTGCCCGTCTTGATTTGCGACGGCTCCTTTCCCACTTCAAAACTTCAAACTCCAAAGGGCACGTGGCGACAAGGTGATTTGCCAAAATCGCGCAGCCAAGTCTCTGCAGAATGCCCCAGTTCGCGGCCCAGAATGACAGTATCGGCCTCAGAGATATCCTTGGCAGGATTGTGCCTCATGCCCTCTTTCTTCGGCTGGTTGCCCACATACCTGAGATGTGGCAGGTTGGCTACCCAGTAATAAGAAGCTGGAGTGCCGAGGGAAGATCAAGCCCTGACCCTGCTTCCTTAAGGAAGAGGTGGCGATCCAGGTGCATCATTGTGAGTGGACCCAACTACTTCGTGACTTTTGTCCCTGGCAAGAACTTGCACTAGGGAGCCTCAAACACGTGTCAAGGACACAACGGGGTAAACACGTGTCAAGGACACAACGGGGTAAACACCCTTCATGACTGGCCGTTTCCCTTTTGGACTGGTGCGGGTGCATGCGCCTCTCACCTTGAACCAGCCTGCCTTTGCCCTGCAGCCCCTTTCCAGGCGGAGTCCCCTGCATACTCCTCCACTCTCTTGGCTGAGCTGTCCATGTCGTGCCCGAAAACCACCTGCCACATGTATCTATGACTTGGCCGCCTGTACTTGCAAGGCGGCTACCCAACGTGCAGTGTTTCATCCGGCCTCATCTACTTGGGAAACCCCGCGCACGACATTGGTCCGAAGCCCTTCACGACGCGGTCTTCCCAGGCTTCTCTTTCCAGCTGCGCCCAGGAACTCGCTCATGCCTGCAAAATCAGGCGCCGGGTTTAAACAAAAACCTCAGGGGGTCTCTCCACCATGTGCTTACAGGACTCCTGGTAGCTCCTCAGCTCCCTCCATAGAAGCAAGTTTGGCTCCCTTCCCAGCCGCGCCTAGGTGCGCCTGCAGCTTTCCGTCCGACGTGGCGCGCTGTTGGATCAGGTCCTCCGCCTCGCAGACTCCCGCGGGGTACTGCTTCGTGCCCTCCGCGCGCGGCTGGCTGCCCAGGCGCTTGCACCCGGCGGCCCGCTCCGGGATGGACGCCAGGCCCGGCGCCGGAGGCGCCTCCTTGGCGGAGGTCTCGCGCTCGGCTCTCTCGGCGACTAAGCGGACCGCCGGCTCCGGCTCCGGCTTCTCCGATTTCGACGGCTTCGACTTCACGCGCGGCTTGCCCTCCGGCCGGCTCCTCACCCTCTGGCCGGCAGCATCTGCGAACGCCCGGGTGAGCTGCTTGGGGAGGCGGTGGCTTTCGCTGAGCCTCCGAGCTTCAAGGGCCCAACAGCACTGGAGAAGATTCACAGCGACGCAATCGAGACACGAACCAAAACAACCGGTACATCAATTAGCCTTTGCTATTCCATTGGAACCCGGTGGCGCCAGTGTGGCTCGGTGATCCAAGGTTCTCCTGTTGATGTCAAGTCCTGTCACTTTGGCCAATCCTGGCCTGCGATCCAGGCCTTCCACCGACGGCCCGCCCACCAACACTCCGTTGGTCTTGGCGTAGCCTCCGGCGATGTCTCGCTGCCGCAGCCACCAGGAGATTCGCTCCCCTGCCGCGTCATCATGGAAGCGCCGGTGCAGCTGCTCGTGCTCCTCGGGATTACTTGAGCTCTGCAAACTGACGAAAGCAACCCTAAAAGGGGGGTCCTTTTCCCAGAAGGAGACTCCTCCAAAACTGATTTACAAATTAAAATTGACACTGACTCCACCCCCCAAAACAAAATACTTTTCCCAAAAGGAGATTCCTCCTTTGACTGATTGTTTTCAAAAAGAGACTCCAAAACCGATTGTTTTTAGGTTTCCATGTTATCCTGCGGGGAACAAGCTCCATCCACATTTGTCCTTGGATGCCCCGGCCAGCGGGCATGCTCGAGGCTCTCTCGCCGAGTGCGGTGCCCGGGAGGAGGCCGTTCGCGAAGTGCACACCGAAGGCGTCAGTCTCGAGCTTACGCTCTGGTCCCCCATGGCCACATGGTGACCAAAGGTCAAGGCTCCAAGACACGTTGTTTGAAACTTTGGGAAAAGGGCATCCCAGAACCTGCAAGTGGCTTGAAAGAGGTGATCTGCCGGTTGCAACCTGGAACTCAACGGGGCAAAATATATTATGAAGTGTGTGTGTGTGTATGTGTGCATGTGTGTCTGCGTGTTGCTTGCTTGTTTTTGCTTGGGGCAAGAGATGCCAACGGCATTGCGCAAATGCGTCGCACATTTGCACGTCTAATGTTGCTGACCACTGCAGCTGAATGCCCAACCTCGTCTTTGCTGCGAAGTGCCTTCACCTGGGACAGCTAAATCAATGGCCTGCGTTTCCACCTCCTATGCTGCAAGCTCAGCCTGCCGAAGTGACAACTCACCCTTTCAGCCGCCTTCTCGCGCTTTGCCTTGATCTCATGCTCCAGCCGGTCTCTGTCTGGCCCTCAAGGCTCAGCTCACAGCGATACACCGCTTCCATTTGGGGCAGCCACGGCCCACGGCGATGCCATCGATCATGTCGAGACCTTGGCGAGACGTGGAATGGGGCGCAGCATGTCAAAAGCGGAGATCGGAAAAGAAATGCCGTTGTGAATAGTGCTTGACTTAAGTGCAAGGTGCAAAACGCGTCATGTGGTGCGCAAAGGGTCGGACATCGTTCAACTTCCTCAAGCTTGCCGAGGCCTGACAAGTTTTAGCCATTGGTATGTCATCAGCACGGCCACTCCGAACGCCTTCTAGCGCACAGGCTTTTCTGAACCACGCTTTGTGATCCTGAGCGGAAAACAAGCCTGGCAAAACCCGTGGACTTGGACACACCCAATCCAGCATACATTCAAGTGTGCTTGCACATGCTTTCATGTGCCGCACTGTCACATGTTTGCATGTCTGTGTCTGTGCAGGTGCGCACCTAGTCATGCAGCCAGCGCGCCTTGCGTTGCGCACAAGCGTGGGCCCTGCGCAACAATGTTGTGCCTTTAAAGTGCGTACGCGCTTGTGCGTGTACGAGAGGGGGAGGGAATGGAGAGAGATAGAGAGAAACAAAGAGAGAGAGAGAGAGAAAGAGCGAGAGAGAGAGAGGAGAAAGAGCGAGAGAGAGAGAGAGAGACAGAGAGAGAGAGAGAGAGAGAGAGAGCGTGCGAGAGAGTGCGAGTGAGTGAGTGAGTGAGTGAGCGAGCGAGCGGCTGGAAGCTGTTGCTGTGTCTCTCTACGCGATCCTATTGTTGTCTTTTTCAATTAGGCAGGTTCAGTGCAGAAGCGCCGCAGTTTGGCAGTATGGCAGTGTAGCAGGGTAGCTGCGAAGTGTTTGTGCGTGCGTGTGTTCAAATGTAGGTGTGTCTGTGGGTGTGTAGCTAGGTAGCCGTGTGACCCTTTGCATGCAGGGGCAAGTGGCATCCATTTTGCGAGGCAGCCCCCAGTCCTGATCGTCAATTTTGAGCACTTGATCTGCAGATTCCAGCGCCTGACTTGCTCCATTGGGGTGAAGGAAAGCTGGTTCCTAGAACAGCTCCGTTCCACAACTTCAGCCATCACCGCTGAGCCATCAAACGAAGAAGCGCATCATTCCCCTCCCAAGAGCGCCCAGGGCAGCCCCCCGGGCCCAAACCCCCCGCCTCCTGCCAGGAGTTCAGCTTTAGGGCGGCCAGGGCCCGGTTCTTCAGAAGGGCCACCTTCAGCTCGGAGAAGAACTTCATGGCCGGATCCGCCTCCGGCACCCGGATCCTCCGCCAGGCGCGCGCTCAGGCCATCTGAGCCAGACGAAAGCTCAGCCAGCCAATGCACTCGCGCAAACAAAACAAAAAAAGCAGTCCCACGATTGAAACCGACTGCGACCCCGGTTTAACGCTCGAATCAGTCAGCTGACTCCTCTGCCCCACTATGACTCACTACGACTCACTGCGCCCGTCTCCTCTGCAAAACCTCGCATCCCAGCCGCCAGGCCTCCCATGTCCGTCACGTTGCGCCATGTCCGTTGCGCCATGGCCCAGCCTGGAGGGCGTCCTCGGGGCAGCCTCGATCCCAGTCCACCACACCATCCTGCCACACGCCCCCGGGTTGGAGCAACTGGGGGCGAGGAGTGGCGCAGAGTTCCTGACTGACTGCCGATCGCCAAAGTGGCTCGGCCAACTGAAAATTAATGCCGCAATGGCCACCCCCTTTGCCCTTTTGCCCTCGGCCGCCTTGCGGTACTTGGTGGCAAAGCTCAGCCCGTCCTGCACTTCCTTCATACCTCCAGCGCCGTGCATCAATCCCTGGCGTGCTTGACTTGATAACCCTCGGCACGGTAACAAAACCTGTTTTTGCTGCCCCTGCAAAAAATGATCACAACCAAAAAAACAAAACACAACTAAACAACTTGATCCAACAACGTTCAAGCTGAAGACCTGAAACCTGCAGCCGTGCGCACTCGACTCGGCTTGCGGGCCCTCAACTTTTTGTCGCCTGGAATCTGCCTGGGTGCAAGGTTTTTTCCAATCCAAGCCATTGCACCCCATACGTCTTAGATTTCCAGCACCCTATGAAGGCAACATGAATAGTTCGACAATGGGGATTCAGGAGAGCCAGGAGATTCGCAGTGGAGATAGCGGGAACGAGAGAGAGGGAGAGAGACAGAGAGAGAGAGAGAGAGAGAAAGAGAAAGAGCAAGAGAAAGAGAAAGAGAAAGAGAGAAAGAGAGAAAGAGAGAAAGAGAGAAAGAGAGAGAGAGAGAGAAAAAGAGAGAAAGAAAGAAAGAAAGAAAGAAAGAAAGAAAGAAAGAAAGAAAGAAAGAAAGAAAGAAAAGAAAAGAAAAGAAAAGAAAGAAAGAAAGAAAAGAAAGAAAGAAAGAAAGAAAGCAAGCAAGCAAGTAAGAAAGAATGAAAGAAAAAGGCGGAAGAGCAAAAGAGAGAAGGAGAGAAAGAGAGAAGGAGAGAGAGAGAGAGAGATTTTTATGGAAGCAAGGAAGGAAGGAAGGAAGCAAGAAAGGAAAGCAGGGAGGGAGGGAAGGAAGCAAGGAAGCAAGGAAGCAAGGAAGCAAGGAAGCAAGGAAGCAAGGAAGCAAGGAAGCAAGGAAGCAAGGAAGCAAGGAAGCAAGGAAGCAAGGCAAGGAAGCAAGGAAGCAAGGAAGCAAGGAAGCAAGGAAGCAAGGAAGCAAGGAAGCAAGGAAGCAAGGAAGCAAGGAAGCAAGGAAGCAAGGAAGCAAGGAAGCAAGGAAGCAAGGAAGCAAGGAAGAAAGGAAGGGAGAGAGAGAGAGAGAGCGAGACATCGCAAGCAAGCATATCTGGCAGAGGGTCGCCTCACACAAGCAAAGTGAAAAGCCCCATCTGCGGTCCCGACGCTTTGCTGGATCTCCCGCTGGCGCCAGTCCTTCAGACTCGCACTTCTCAACCTATCCCTCGCCCAGGGAATGCCGTTGAAATGCTCATGAAACGAATCTTCCCCACCAAGTCATGTCTGCGACGAGTCACCCCAAGTGAACAATATCACAAGTTTTCACGGGTGGAAGGCATGCCACAGCCCCATCTGTCCAGAAAAAGGTGCTCGGCACCCTTGGCTCCGTCGTTATCGATGGCGTTGCGAAAGTCCATGAGAATCCTTCAACCAAATTGACTGACAATGGCATCCATGCTACCCGCCACAACCAAAACATGCACTTGCTGCGGGCAAAAGATGTTCCGCGCCTTTGATTCTCGGCTGTCTCCACCATCTGGCCGAAAGGCACACCCCGCTCTTTGGCTTGCTTAATCACCTGCGGCCGGAACTTGAGACACGAAGCTGCGCCCACCCGAACTTCTCGTGACCGGCGGCGTGACCACTGACCATTTCGCAGCTGGACCGCCTGCATCAAATGGAGCTCCACCGGGCGATAATGCAGAATCGGCGTGACCTCAGCCGAGAAAGCCGAGAACAAGTTGTTCAAGGAACTACTACAGCCAGCTGCTTCCCATTGCCAACATGGCCGCGTCTTTCCCATGTGGATGAGCCCCGAAAATCAATTCAAACCGGTCATGTCCCTCTTGGTTTCCCGAAGAAAAGGCCCTCGAGTAAAAAAACAAAAAACACCATGTTGGGGGTTGGTCAACAGGCGCTTTACATGGGATGTAAAACTAAAAAGATGGTATTTCAACCACACGTGAAAAGTTACCCTTGGTCCTTCGGCCTTAAATAGAATATTGATCAACCCCCATGTCCAGATTCCGCGCCATCTTTCGTCAACCTTGAAACATATCAACCTTCCGAGGCCCAGGGCTCAACCGACATGGAGGAATTGCGCCACCCAACTACAACTCTCTCGATTTCTAGACCAACCTCATGACTGGGCTGTCCTCAGATCCCCCGCTAAAAGCTTAACCTTTAGTGGGTTAAATGGACATCCCCACTAAAAGCCAAAAGGCTAAGAAGCTAAGATGGACGGATGAAAGCCAAGATAAGAGATGCCACCTGAACCGCGCATCGGACCAAACGAGCAAACCCCGTGCGAAACCCGCGAGAAAGCATCGAACGGATCAGCGCCAGGCCAAGCGCCGGGTGGCCATGGAGCTCTCTTCCAGGCAGTCCGCCACCTGGCCCAGCGACGATATCATCCTCATGCTTCGCAATAGCTCGTTTCCTGGCTGCTTGGTCATTCTGGTGTACTCTGGTTCATCCTAGTTCATTCTAGCTCATTCTGAATCATCTTGGTTCATTGTGCATTCTGGTTCCTCCTGGTTCATTTTAGCTCATTCTCATTCGTGCATTCTGGTTCATCCTGGTTCATTATGGGTTCATCCTAGCTCATTCTGGTGCACTCTGGTTGATTCGGGTTCATTCTGGCTCATTCTGGTTCATTCTGGCTCATCCTCGCTCATTCTAGCTCGTTCCGGTGTATCCTGGTTCGTTCCAGCTCATTCTGGTTCATCCTGGTTCATTCTGGTTCATCCTGGTTCATTTTAGGTAATTTCATTCTGGTTCGTCTTGGTTCATTCTAGCTTCTTGTTCACGCTGGTTCTTTCTAGCTCATTCTGGTGTATTCGGGTCTATCCATTCTGGTTCATTCTGCTTCATCCTGGTTCATTTTAGGTCATTCTGGTGTAGCCTGGTTGTTTGGCTCATGCTAGCTCATTCTGGTGCTCTCTGGTTCATCCTGGTTCATTCTAACTCATTCTGGTGTACTCTTTCTTGTTCATCCTTGTTCATTCTAGCTGATTCTTGTTCATTCTGGCTCCTGGTTCGTTCTAGCGCATCCGTGCGTAGTCTGGGATTCTGGCTTATTCTGGTTCTTTCTGTTTCATTCTAGCTCATTCTAGTTGATTCTGGCTTATTCTTCTAGCTCATTATTCTAGCTCATTCTTCTGGCTCATTCTGGCTCATTCTGGTTCATTCTGGCTCAGTCCGGTTGATTCTGGTTTATTCTGGTCCATTCTGGTCCATTTTGGTTCATTCTGATTAACGCTGATGGTTCAGTCTGGTTCTCATTCTGCCTCATGCTGGTTCATTGAGGATCATTCTGTTTAAGTGGCTGCTTGAGTCCTAGGAGCGCGACCAAGAACAACATCCCAACACTTTCAGTTATGTCATCGTAGTCATCTTAACCTGCTGAGAATGTGATACATTTCAGTGGCAGGCTTGACTTTTGATCTGGTCATGTGCACCAACACAAAACAGGGTGGACAACCCCTTGGCAATGGTCGAGGGCGTGCTAGAAAAACCGCCAGCATTGACAGTCCGGGCAGGCAAGCCCTGCCTCTCTTCTGAAGTCGTTGGACTCACTCACCTCCGATGGCTTGCGCAGAGTTGGTTCAAAGGATCGTCAAATTGCAGGCAACCTGCGAGTATTGCTCCAGCCAGGTATTCTTCCGCAGCCTCGGTGCGTCAAATCGTGCGCTTGCATGTTCCGTAGTGCACCGTCTCAACTGAGGTTCCTGCTTCCAGTGATCATCAGACTGAAGAAGTGCTTTCATGTGCGGCTTCCGGGCTGCGTTATTCCAGAACTCTGGATCCTTAGAGCTCCAAAACCCTCTGGCACACGCCTTGTCGCACAACCCCGGCCTCATGGTTGAGAAAGAAGTTGGGATTTTCTCTTGGATCCATGCTCTCTCGCTGGAGCTGCTGCGACCTTATGCATCGCGTGCAGTCCCAAAATCACTGCCTCTGCTTCAGGGCAACAAACAACACAGAAACGAATTTCAGCGCAGCACGCCTTGTTTTGTCAGTCGCCGCTAATAATTGCAGCGATGAGGAAAGTCTATGGCTTAAAGCGATGTGGAGAGGCCCTTGTAGGCACTGCTCCAGTGGTCGTCCTTCACTTTCGTCGAGATCGTGGGCAACTGCTGCAGCTGACTTCTTCCCTCCTGGAAAACAAGGCGAAGAAGCAACCAAAATCAACATATTGGGTCAAAGCCATGCCACTAAACATCTGCACCACCACCTTCCATTCTCTGCCGCAAGCCCTCCTGTGCTTCAGGGCATCCGAAAACTTCATGGGCAACATGGGAGCACCCGCGAGATCCATGGCTTCCGCGCCTAACGGTGACATAGAACGCGAAGCAAACTCCAAAGACGCAGTCTGAGGCCGCGTCAAGTGGACCGCCCCTTTGATTCAGGCTGATCTGTTGCAACCTCGGTCCGCACGGGTCCGGTGGGACTGCGCGGGGCGTCCAGAATCTGACCGAGCCCGCGGCCATCTCCTTGGCTGGAAAGGACCACAAAGCCAAGACCCTGCGAACACAGTGCGGCCAAGCCTCGCTTTGTCAAAGGGGTTCTTGTTCTTGCCTTGGCCTAGGCCGGTCATCTCGCTCAGCGTGAAGCCCCGCACAGCCTCAGATGGCAACAGGGGCTGTGCCTGGGATTGAAGAAGTCTAACATTGGCAACTTCGGCGTACTGCCGAGCTGCCATCCGTCTGCCTGCCAGCTTTGCAGTCCATGACCTGCCGAATCGCCCAAGTGCACAAACACTTGTCAATGGAAGGCAAACAGGCGAGAACCGAGGACGAAGCGTGAGATCATCCGAGCAGGCAACATTTTGTTAGAGAAACCCAGAAGCCGAAGCCGGCTTGCTTATCTTCCATTCCGGATGCCCTGAAATCAGTCCCATGGGTCAGCTTCGATGCTCGCGCGCGTGGCCTGCAGGCCTGCGGCCTCCCGCCTGCACACCCGGTGCAAGAGCTTGAGCTCCAACGGCTTCTTGGTGAGCTCCGGCGCAACGGCCAGGCGGCTCAGGGAGCAATGAATGTAGCCGTGAGCCGAGCCTTCGCATTGCGATTGCACAGGCTGACCCAAAAAGCCCAAGGGTTGATAGAGCTGGACCCCGCGCGCGAGCGCTTCCATGAAAGCCCGTGCTTTGCACCCGAAACATGCTTGCACCCCAATGCCGCCGTTGTGCGTCCAAGGCACCCCCCACGGTCTTCACAATCGTGGCCTGGCGCAGCAAATGGGGATGCTGGTGGGCCTGCAAAAGGTCCAGCTCGTTCTGCCGCTGCACATGCGAGAGCTTCTTCTCCAAGAAGACCTAAGTGTTGGGGGCCGGGGGCTTGGCTTCCTGCGGAAAACCCAACCCAAACTTCCCTTCCAAGGCTGATTCGGACATGGGGCTCAAGTAAGCGTCAGCAAGTTGCTGATTCAGGATCGTTTTATGGTTGGTTCAGGGTTGGTTGAGGGTTGGCTTGGGGTGGGGTTGAGGCTGGTTCACGGTGAGGCCAGTGAAGGCCGCATAGGGGTTAGTGTGGCATGTGTGGAGTGAGCCTACGTTAGAATACCCACCCCACCCCACCCCACCCCACCCCACCCCACCCGCGTCAACAAAAAAAACAGCGCCGGGCGTGTGGGGGGAACAATGTTGTGTATATACATATGTATATATATATAGAACAGGTTAAACAACCGGGAAGGGTCACAAATGAACCCTGTACTCAGCACGCTTTTTCCTTGAGCCATACGCAGTCGTAATGATGAGACTGCGCAAGTGAGACATTCATGCATTGGGGTTTTACATGGTTGATAAATACATCACGTTGCAAACTACACCCCCCGTGCCCGAATGTGAAACAGGAGGACAAATGAAAGGGATGAAACAACCAAAGAAACCCGATCGGCATGAAGTCCTTTTTGCAGTACACAAGCACTTGGATTCGAGCAACCGACAGTTAAGGTCTTCCGCCTCCACTGACCGTCGCTCTCGCGAGGCGTGCTCATGCACTGTACATTGATCCTCGGCCAACATGGGTTGAGAAGTATAATGAATATTGAATTTGAAATGTAAATGGATGTCAGCCGAAGATTGAAAAGATCGCTCATTCATCGCCAATCCCAATTGCGGGAGCTCTTCCACGGGCGCTGATCATCAGACCACCACGAGTCCCAGGATTGGCCCCAGCTTCCCCAGTACGACTGGCTCCATTGACGATCTTGCCATTTGCCACCGGTCTCCCGGAGCTGCGGAATGGGCTTGCGCGTCACACCGACAACTGCAGGGAGCGGGGTGGCTCGTCCAGGGATTTCGATGCCGGGGATCTCCTCTTCGACGAAGCAAAGCAACTCAACCAATACCATTTCGGGGTCCCACAGACGAGAAATCCCGGGTCCAGCCCATCACGGGGTAGCGGTTGCTCTTGTCAAGGCTTCCATACAATGCAGCAAATTGTTCTGGTTCCAGAAATCTGCCACCATGCACCACATACACGTCCTTCGGATCAACCTCCTGCACGTCCTCTGTTGGCGGCACCAGCGTTAGCCGTGCGTGATATTTCGGCACAGCAACGCTTCCTTGGATCATTTCCTTTGTTCTCCCGAAACTCGGAATAATGCATCGTGCCACCTTCTCGATAAACTCGAGGGCGGACGGCGTCAGGTCTCCCCGCGCGGCAGTGTAGGCGTAGAAGGGGTCATTGATCAGCCTCTCGTACAACGTGGTGTACTCCTTGTTGCGAAGAACTGCTTTCTTGGCGATGTCCTTCATGATCCCGAGGCCCCCTCTTGCGCTTCGATCCCCTCGCGCATCCTTCCGCTGCGTCAAGATCTGAGTCTCAACCTGGTCCATGGAAAGCGGCACGCCCAAGCTGTTGGCCATCTCCTGCAAACGAACGACCCTGGCTATTTTCTTGATATCGGGCATGCGCTCCATGAGACGGTCACACTGGAAACAGTTGATGGTGCCGACCGGGATGAGGATTTTGCAGTGCGGGCACTCAACGTCGGGGATGTGCATGACCTCCGCGAAGCGCCAATTGGTCGACTTCTGCTTGTTGGGATCCAGGTCCTGCCACAAACCACTCCGGCCTCGGGTTTCCCCGGGCTGCTGCTTCACAGCTCGGGCCCAGTTTCTGTAGAGGCCATAGCGGGCGGTCTCGAATTCAAGCGCGCCCTGACCTTCGTCACATTGCCAACGCGGTGGGGCCGCATCATGTCGCGGCACGCTGTCGGGGCCCACTGTTTGTAATAGAGCTTACACTCCTTGTCGGCCTTCGCCATGAACGATTCCAGCACTGGGGTCCCGACAACGCCCTTCTGGGTCTCTTCCCGATACTTCTTGATGCTGTCCTGGTAATTCCGTCTGACACTGACATACATCCGGCTTGACCAGATAAACTTTGCACATTCAGCGTCATAGGCGTAAATGAGGACCTTGTTCGTGATCCAATCCTCCGTCACCAGGGCTTCCCCGTCTCTGGGTGCGTACAGCCGACATCCCAATTGGATCAACATCTCCACATCGACGGCGATGTTGATGGGTCGGTCAGCACGCGCACCCCCCGCCTTCCGGCCATGCCTGTCCCAAGGAGGCACTACCGTTAGGTAGGCGTGACCACGCGAGGATTGCCGGTCCCCCATTCCGCCCGGTAGATGATGTCAAAGAAATTCTGCATGTTGCACGTGTGGTAGGCGATTTTGGGCAGCGCCTTTCGGCGTGTGTCCGGGAAACCCTTCTTTGCGTGCTCAATGGTGTAATTGACATCCATTGCAATGGGATCTCCAGGAATATTGTCAAAGCCGCCGGCCTCGGTCACCCAATCGTTGTGGCCGGTGAACGCGCGAATGCGTAGCGGCATGAAACTGAGCCCGTTCCATTGCTGCCCGGCCGGCGCGTACTCGACATAGACCTCGAACCGATTCGATGTGGACGTGGCCTGAAGAAGAGTGTATTGGGTGCAGTTCCAGTCATATCGACGTTGGATCCATTTGGCGACGGCTGCGTAGTCGAAGGAGTTGTCCTTGAGATTGATCTCAGGGATGGATCGCGTCGCATGTTCGTGGGCATGTCCGCGAACCAAATACGACACCTTCTTGCTCAAGAACGTCCTTCTGCCATAGTTCTGGATCTGGGGAATCTTGATTCCTGAGCATTTGATCCACTCCCTCTTGGGTTCAGCAGCCTGGCCACGGGTTTTCCAGCAGCTTTGGAAACTGCCTTCGCCTTGGGGATGATCTCCGGGCCACGGATCTCTCCGGGCTGAGTCTTGCTGGTCCCAGCCACGGACGCCTGATCGCTGGATGAGGCAGCCTGCATTGGCATTGCCTTTGATTTCACCTTTGGTGTCGCAGCACTGAGAGCTGCAGTCATTTTGTTATGACTTTTCCGCTTGGAAGTGAGGATGAGCTTGATTTGGCCGTCCTCACCAATGTCATTTGGATCCACTGCGGCAACCTCAACGGCCTGGCCTTTCGGCCGGCTGACCTTAGGCTGAGAGCCAGGGGGTCGAAGCTGATCAGATCCTCCTCATCCGAAGAAGAAGACCAATCGATCACATCGTTGAGGCCGCTGACGGTCGCCGCGTGAATGTCGGGTTGCATCATCTGTAAGATCTTTGCTTCCTCCTTGACGGTGTCAAGGGGGTAGAGGGGGTTAGCCTCCTTTTCAGTCTCCAGGAAAATCTCGCGCTTCGGCTCTTGCGCGGCGATTTCATTGATCGCCTCCAACTCCCTCTCACGGACCTCATTGTCGAAAGGGTCCTCAGGGTTCTTTGCAATTGCCGGACCGCCAGTTTCCTGGGGTGTAGCGCCAACGATCGGGATGGATGTGTCAATGTTCATGTATTCCCTTTCGAGGCGGTACCAATTCATCGCCATCTCAAAGCGGTTGATTTGGCCAATGCAGTACCCGAGCTTGGCAGCAGCTACAAA